TACTTTTATATAAGAAAATGAGTCACTGAATAAAGACAGGCCAATCATGTACTACCCAAACACTGGCCTGTCTAGAATTCTCTTCGGTGAGTGGGGCTAAGTGAAGCTTATGATGCAGAAAGGTAGACAAGAGAACAGTGTAATCCACCTTTCTCTCAATAATGCAATGGGACTATAATTTCCTAAGAATGTGCAATTTGACCAGGGCTTAATTTCACTGACTTCTTTTTTTAAGTTAGCACAGTTTCTAGTGCTTGGCACTGAAGCTTTAAGTAACAAGGAAAATCCTAATGGCCTATGGAGGAAAATGAAGAAAAGCTCAATGGACACAAGGATGTGGAACAGTATTTTCCAAGTGACTTTTAATTCACCTATAAGTCATTATATTATAATCTAGATTCAAATTCATTTTTATAAAGCAGGGCATGGAGATTTTCCCAAAAGAGGGGTTAAAAGTAAAAACTACCAACCTAACTTATTTATTTGAAACTGCATGCTATGAATTATCCTATCAACACAGACCTACCACCATGCCCTTCCCCAGGATAAAAGGCTGTAGCTGTCTCATCAGTGAATAATTCCCAACAACAAACTGAAATCAGAAAACTATGTGAAGTATGTTGTGCATGCCTAGCCCTTCCAAACTCTCACATGCCTGACTATTCTATGACACTGAGCATCATTACACACACAGTACTATGAAGATCTAAGAATTGAACAAAAAAACACAAGCATGAGGGAGAGGATACTCCATACTCATCTCCAGTTCCAAGCGTAGATACAGCACATGAAGAAACAGATCAGCTTCATCAGTCAAAAGGAAAACAGGGTCATGAATGTTTGGATTTGGCAAGAGGGACCACCCAGAGATTATGCTGAGGGATTCTTGTGTTTGTGCCAGCTGCTTAGCCATGGAGGACTCTGTAGGTATCCTGTTTTCCTATGCTCAACACTCCTACATGCTAAAAAAGTAAAATCTTCATAGGCATTATATGCTGTACTGAAGTTCTTTCTGGACATGACCAAAGGTGGGAGTATTTATATAACAGAAACAAACATGGAAGCCTACGACACTGCAAACAGTGAAGAGTCCTGGTGCTCTTCTCTATAGCAAGACAAGCATATTCATTTCATCCCCCCAGCAATCATGTTCTTTCATGGAACTGTCTGCTCAGCTTCTGAGACAGTAACACTCACCGAACACTTTCTGAGCAGGATTCTTACAATCAACATGCTACCTCAAACCATTTCCAAAACAGTCATCCAGTAAGAATTTACTATTTTATCACTGTACTAAGTAGAATAAATTGAAATAGCATTTTCAGAGTTTCTGTGTCAAGAAATGTACTCTGTAGTTAAGGTAACTGAAACATACATGAAACATTCACACCAACATAACAGCACAGCATATACTTATTATTAGTTCATTGTAATGCTACAATGACCACCACTGACCACTTTTTTTTTTTCGAGACAGGGTTTTTCTGTGTAGCTTGGGAGCCTATCCTGGCACGTTAGTTATACTCTGGTTCTATCAAGCTTATAATCCCCTGAACTAACTGGTTTCACATGATGTTATCTATCTTTTTTACTTATTCCTTCAGAAGTTGTTTCTTTTTTTAAAGATTTATTTATTTATTTATTTATTTATTATGTATACAGTATTCTGTCTGCATATATCCCTGCAGGTCAGAAGAGAGCACCAGATCTCATTATGGATGGTTGTGAGCCACCATGTGGTTACTGGGAATTGAACTCAGGACCTCTGGAAGAGCAGCCAGTGCTCTTAACCTCTGAGCCATCTCTCTAGCCCCAGAAGTTGTTTCTTAGAGATGGGCTTCCTGGATTATCTAAGTTGGCTCAAAGCCCAGCACTGACTCCAACCTACACAGTTTGGAGTTTTTACTGTCAATTTGACACAACCTAGAGTCACCTGGGAAGAAGAATCTCAATTGGGAGATTTCCCAGATCAAGTGGCCTATGGATGTCTGTGGGACATTGTCTCAATTACTAATTGATGTATGAGGGCCCAGCCCACTGTGGGAAATGCCACTTCATGACAGACAGTCTAGGTTGTATAAGAAAGCGAGCTAGCATAAGCCTGCTAACAACACAAACAGCAAATGAGAAAACTGTATTCCTTCTTGGTTTATGCTTCAAGTTCCTGCCTTGAGTTCCTTGTCCTAAATTTTCTTAGCAAGAGACTGACCTCGAAGTATAAGCCACATAATCCCTTTCATCCCCTAAGCTGCTTTTGGTCAAAATCATAGCTTCAGAAATCAAACCAGGACAGTCTGACATGAAGCAATCACACAGATAACTTTTATGAATCCAAAAGAAACACAAAAAGTAGAATTAATTCCAACTGTCACTGATACTTACTGAGCAGACAGCCAACGTGTCCACATTCCAAACCCTCGGGATCTGCTATAATTAGATTTCTTCCATAGATACCAAAACTTTTGTTGACTATCAAAGCCAAAAACTTTAAAATGCAATTGTTATAGTTTTCTCCATGAACAGTTTTGTTAACACCAAAATTCATATTCAATATTGTTTGGTTTCATGGTTCTTCTCTTCCTTATCCACTTTAACTCCATAGTAGTCACTCACTAATAACAACTGGCTCTCAAAGTATCCATCCTGTTTTACTCTGTAATAGTATTATTCTATACTTCAAAAGAAGAAAAAATCAACTTAATGTTTACTGAAAGGGCTTTGTGCCAAAAAGTTCTCTTGAGTACCCATCTCAAGATATCTTAATAATCAGATCCCATTTTTCTACTTCTTAAATCCAGACTTTCTCTCTGCTTTTTTGAAAGATCTTAAGTTCCTAATAAAGAACACTACAGGTCACAAGCTTTTGTTGTGATCTCTAGAGTTCTACAGAGAATTACTCCATCAGGGACATTACCCTTTTCTCCATCTGGAGGCTGCTCTTCCTTTTACTCCTAAAGCATTCACTTTTTCACTTTCAGATAAATTCATTATTGATATTTCTATTACTCTTGATATACTGTATAAAGCACAGAAAGTCTTAGTAGATGTTTTCTAAAAGGATTCATTAGTTCTACTTTAATTTCTTTAATGCTGCAAGTATATGCCTCAGAGTAAGGGAGCGTTGATTGAACTTGGAGGGTACGGGAGAAGTTAAAAATGCATGTAGTAGGGGGTGAGTTAGATAAAAAAACATACACTGGATACTCACATAAAATTCTCAATAAATAAAAAAATTAACTTTCAGCTGGGATTGGTGGCACATGCCTTTAATCCCAGCACTCGGAAGGCAGAGGCAGGTGGATTTCTGTGAGTTCGAGGCTTGGTCTCCAGAGCGAGTGCCAGGCTAGGCTCCAGAGCTACACAGAGAAACCCTGTCTTGAAAAAACAAACAAAACAAAAAAAACAAAAAAAACAAAAACAAATTAACTTTCATTAGATATGAAAGACCTGATGAGTGGTTCCTTTTATGCAAAATGTAAAACACAGAAGGATTTATGGATATAGATTGGTGATTGCTTATAGCTGGCACACACATAAAAAATGGAATTTGATTCTTGAGTACACAGTTTCTTTTAGAGATGTTAAATCAATGGTTATCATTGTACAACATGTGAACATACTAAAATACACTGACTCAGACACTCTAAAATAATTTTAATATGGCCTTTCAACCAGGAGAATAATGCTTTGCTTCTTTCCCCTTCATTATTTTAACAACTCCATTTAGTTATCATTTATATTCCATATAATCCTCTGCTAGCAATAAACGGCATTCTACTATGAACCTTTCAAAATGTACACAATCTTCTTCAACTAACCGGCAACCTACCAGTGTTCAGAATGTTGTAAATACTTGTTCAAAGGTTGAGAGACTCGCAGCTCTAAACTTATTACAAGTAATGTACATATTCTCTATTTGGGGTTTATGCATTTTTGTAGATTGACTTTGGTGACTCAAATACCATCTGTAAAATCATTTGTATAAGAAAGTATATATTCAAAGCCAAAACTAAAACTAGAAAGAAGCCACCACCCCACCTCACCCTGTCAGTTTGTAAATAAGCCAGGCAACACCTATCACCAGTTCCCATCCACAAAAGCTTGTCTGGTAACAAACCCAGAATGTGCCAACCTCCAGGTTATGAAAAAAAGACATTTGAAAAAAGTCATGGCTATCTTCTTCAAAGCTAACCCAATACTTTATAGGATAGGTTCTCTTTTCACTGTTGTCTCAGAGTGTACACAAAATATTACTGTAGAATTCATGAAGCATTTTGGCTTCTTTGTTTTATCCTGATCCTACCATGTGACCCAGACTGGCCTAGAACTCATTATATAGCCAGGATTGGCTTCAACCTCATGATCTTCATGCTTCAGTTTCCTGAGTACCGGGATTACAGGCATGAGGTATCACATCCAGTGCATAAGAAATTTTGACTTTTACAAAACCCAAACATAATTTAAAAATAAACTATATCCATTTATAAATCTGTAAGCTTAAATCAGGAGTCATGGGTATTATTCATCAACCCACTTACTATAGCTTACTGCTCAAGGGACCCTTGATATGTATACAATAAATGAACAGAGAACTAAATGTGTAATTTGGTTAATCTTATGATTAATGGGCATTATCAATGTAGTGGTTTGAATGTAAAGTATCCCCAGTAGACTTAAGTGTTTGAACATCTGGTCTCCAGGTGGTGGTACTACTGAGGAAGGTTGTACAACCTTTAAAATGTGGAGATTTTTTGGAGGAAGTGGGACAGTGGGAATGGGCCTTGAGGATTTGTAGCCTAGACCCCATTTCCTGTTCTCTGTCTGCTTCCAGGATATGGAGGCAATGTGGCTAGCATCCTCCTGTTTCTGCCACTCCTCTGTCATAATGGACGATATCCTCCTGGAACAGTATATGTTAAAACAGACTGCATTGTTAAAGTATTTTCACACAACAATACAAGTAGCTAATACAATCAGCATTTTTTCATAAATTTGCTTACCTTCTCTAGTTGGCAAGCGCTGACAATGCTCTTATATCTGTACTCATCATAGGAAACACCAAAGATGATATTTTCTTTGATAGTACCCGGCATAATCCAAGAAAATTGAGAACAGAATGAAATTCTTCCACTGTGCTTAATTTTTCCCTCTGAAGCTTCCAGCTCTCCCAAAATCATCATCAGAAGTGATGTCTACAAATAAATTGTTGTTTGATCAAATTAGTTAGCTTTAGCTTGCTTCCAATTATTCTAATCAGAAGTCTAATAACTCATTTGATTAAAGATGTTTTTAGTACTTCATGATCAAAGGACTTTTCTAGGTACAAAAAATAACCCAAAGGGAATGAAAGAGACAATGACAACACAAAGTGAGAGTGATCAAGGCTAACAAAGAGTGAGTCCCTCCTTATGTTTTCTGGGCTAGGTTTGCATGTATGAGATTGATAACAGTGAACTTTGGCTAAGAACTCTTGGCCTAGGTGCTGCCTGTGTGCACTAACCATATGAGTGTGTTTATTCATCACAATAAACTAACACAAAATCAGTGTTATCTTCCCCTTTTAAACCTATATTAGACTGAAAGAAAAAGAGCATATTCACACAGCCTTCCTTGATATATGACAACCTAAGAAACTAAAAGAGCTACCATTAAAACCAAGGCTTATTGCTATTATTTGCTTTCATCTTTAATAAATGCTAAAAAACATATGCATGCCCAAATTGTTTTTAAAAGCTTTTTTGTGTGCCACTTTTATAGAAGTATAAAATAAAAAAGTTGAAGGACTTATATATATTACATGCTCTCACAAGAGGAGTTCTAAGGAAAATAAAAACAAGTATATATAAAAGAGACAAAGGGCAGGATGCAGTGGAGATAATGTTATCACTTAAGAAAAGTTGGATGTCATAAGATTGTTGGTGTGTGCTTGTGTGCACTTGCACTATATTTGTATGCTATATAACCGTGAATATATGGGTGCCCGCACCCTTCTGTGTGCATGTAGAGGCTAGAGCAGATATGTCTGGTATCTTTTGTCTCCTCTCCTTGTTGCCTTGAGGCAAGGTTTCTTACTGAATTGAAGCTTGAAGTTTCAGCTACACCAGTTTCCAGGGAACGCTTAAGATCCAACTGTCAATGTAGGTGCACATCTATGCCAAGTTTAAAAAAATTTAATATGGGAATTTGGGATTTGAACTCAGGTCACTGTGCCAACAATGAAAGCACTCTTAACCCACTGCATATATGTATGTATGTGTATATAAATGAAAGAAAGCAAGCATCAGGGGAATGGAAAACACTGATTTTTACCTTCCTCATTTAGTTCATTTTGGGTGAACTAAAGGTCCAAAAAATGAAATATGAAGCATGTATAAACATTATAAATGTAAACAGTAGAACAAAATACAAGCATTCCTAAAAACCATATGATAGTTATTTCTTCATATCCTTGGAGGACAAGTACAATGTAGCATACCATAAAAATATTGTTTTTTTCTCACTTAACTACATATCTTAGAAAACTTTCTAATACCAAAGACTAGAGAGCTTCAATACATATCCATACTTCTCTGAAGATACCTATAGCAAATCTCTATAAATCTATAAGGATATAACATACAGGTAGTTGGATCATTTGGTTTCTTTAAGGATTAAGTAGTAAACCATCAAATCAAGAAGTATAAAATTAAATTCTGAATATTCATGTACCAATTACAAAATCTTATATTGTAGCTAGACCGTTTTTCCAGGAAAATGATAAGAGTTCTCCATCTTTCTGACTGAGCTGTGAGAGTCTTGATCACAAGTGAATGAGGATCTTCCTCTGTGTCACTGCATCTTTCCATGGGAGGCAAGAGCAGTCCCAGACTGGAATTACTTGGTCATCAGTTTTTCATAGGCTTGTCTGAGAGCTAATTACTGCTAAAGACAACAAATTCTATTTTCACATGTTTCATGTAATGATCTTAAGTATATGGACAATTTCTTTTTAAAATTCTTTGTAGCACAGTAATACTCTCCCAAGCAGAGTATAGTCTGGTGTTGATCATCTGTGTATTCTAGAGCATCAGCTATGCAGACTCCTGTGATTATCATGGTCTTTTAATACTAAAAATTGCTGCTAATTCCATATAAGATAGTAAGGAAAAAATAACACTCTGAGGATCAAGCTTTTATTTAAAAGGCCCATGTCACATTTGAGGAAACACCTGGAGAGAAAGATAAGCTAGATATACAGTAATTAGAAATTTTCTGTGGTATCTTATTTCTGAAATCTCACATAAAACTCTTCATGATATAGCTTTCCCTGCTTAAGATATTAATATAAAACAGAAACAAATTCCCTTTCAGAATCCATCATTTTTATTTTTATTTTATAAAAACACTTCTCCATCCTTCATTCCTTCTCCTTCTTTCCCTCTCCTTCTCTCCCTCTCCCTCCCTCTCTCTCCTTTCTTTTCCCATTCCTTCATATAGAATTTAAAGGATTAATAAACACATTTTTAAGATCATGAAAGATACCATAACTAAAATGGCACTCGAATTGGAACAAGGATCTATTTTATGGGTATTCATGGCAAATACTTGTTGCCCAACATCATGAAGCACACCCTCACCTCAAATTTCATTCCTTTGGTTCTTCAATGTGCTATCAAACTAATTACTAAAGAATAAGTATTATTATCTACATGACAGACCATATTTGAAATATCAAGATAAAGCCTCTTGGTGGTAATATTAGATTTGGGGGCAGTTTTCCCTTCTAGCAGATTTGATTTTGTGAGATGTCTCTCCAAAGACCAAAAACGTTTAAAGCATAATAGGTTATTCTTGGCATTGGGTGGGGAGTAGAATAGACACTGAGTAACATTTTCTTGAATATCTTTCTACTTGACATAGTTTCATAATATGTAATAAGCAAGACTGAGTCCATACAAAAATCTGAGATATATCAATCCTTGTGCCTACAGTGGTCAAATCTTAGCCCATGATTTTCTTGGACCAGCCCTAAAAATAGATCTGTAGCAAAAAAAATTGGTTAAAAGATAGTTTTTAAATCAATAGTTATTGAAATACCTCTACATGTGTGACAAAGCTAAATTCTATACAAAATATAAACATGTAGAAAAAAGTCACAAGAAATAATGTGATAACTAAAAACCCCGAGGAAACCATTCCTGAAACCACTTATATTTTAAGTAAACACTACACTCAAATATTTCTATACCTATACAAAAATTTCTCTGTAGTATTTCATATACTGCAAACTAGAGAAAAGGGAGAAGCGAATGCTAAATTAAATTCTTAATAATGAGTAATAAAAAGACAAAAAAGACTTTCCTAGCAAGATATAACACCAATGGCATAACAGTGACATACTGGGAATAACCAACAGCTACCTAACTGTACCTAAGACAAACTCATCAAGACTGAACTCATACCTAGTACTGTAAACCTTACTAACTAACCACAGCTGGAGAGGCCATAGCTCTTAGAGGAGCTCCTACTACTGCTATTTTTGTAAGCTAATAAGATTTCTAACTGGGATCTAAGTACTTACCCACAGGTAAGTGTAGTTCACACCTCTTACCAAGTCACATCTTTTTGCAGTGGTTGTAAACTATTACAGAGATCTACAACTAGTCAACGTGCAGAAAACAACTGACAATGGGTTACTCAGTCCAAATTGATATATCTAAAATGCAACCTTTATACTTAAGGCTTAGGGCAAATTGTGGAAGAAGGGGCTGAAAGATCTTAAGAGCCAGAGGACAGGAATATGCTTCTAGAAAGCATCTTCTAGCTATGAGACACTACACCTATGAAATATCCAAAATATTGTTACATAAACAAGTCCTACATGATGATATCACCAGTTGACATTACAATGTAAATGAGGGAATCTCACAAGGTCCCATCCCTTAGAGCAGTGATTCTCAACCTTCCTAATGCTGTGTCCCTTTAATAACCCCCAAGGAGTCATGACAACAGGTTGAGAAATACTGCCCTAGATGAAGAATTGCAACCAAATAAAAGCTGAGAGGGAGAATCAATTTTCCCCCCAAATGAGCTCCTTGATAGGTCATCCAATCCCAAGTGATCAGCTCCAAATACATGTGCATATAAGAAACACAAAATGGATCCAGTACATTATATATTATAGTAACCAAAAACAGAGGTCATGAATTTAAATGGGAGTGATGAGGGGTATATGGAAGGTGTTAGAAATTTGGGAAGGGAACAGGAATTATGAAAATATAGTACTCATGTATGAATTTCTCAAAAAATTTAAAATGTAAAGAGACAGTACCTTTCCAGCTCCAGTAGATCCAGTAATAGCCAACATCTCTCCTTTCTCTACCTTAAAACTGATGTTTTTCAGCACAGGATTTTCCAGAAAACAGATATGACCCAAACTTGGGTTGTCATCATCATTTGAAAGTTTTCTGTCATCATTGTTTAGTTGTACTTTTTCCAACAATTCTCCAAATCCCTATTTAGCCACATCAAAAATAAAAATGTCTTCAGATACTTTCAGTAAATATTTTTAAGTGCAATCACTTTAAGAAACATATGGTACACAATCCATTATAAGACATATGCATTTTAAATTAATTAATAAATATAATTATAAAGCACAGGTTTTCTAGAGAGCATGGTTCAAAATATTTGCAAAATACATATAATCAATGAGAATACAATTTCCCTTTATCAAACCTTTATCATTACATTAATTTCATACTATTAAAGTTCAAGTGTGTGTGTGTGTGTGTGTGTGTGTGTGTATGTGTGTGTGTACCAAGACTAAAAGAAGTATATATATATACATATACATATATGTATGTGTATATATATATATATATATATATATATATATATATATATCCTTTTTCCTATGGACTTGGTACATAGCGTTAATTCAGCATAATATATGAGGCCGGTTTCATAATCTTCCTCTTAAAAACTGTAGACCACCTCTCAGAATGTATAACTGATCAGTCACAAGTATTACAAACAAGAAATTACAAGGCAAACCTGACTTCTGTTCTGTCACACTGGTAGTTCCTTCTTCTAAGATTTCTCATTAATTATCTCTGGCTACAAATATGATGAAATTGCTAGAGGAGTAAAGGAATTGATCTGCACAAGAGCATGTGTGGGTTGGAGAGGAATCCCTTTTGAAAATGGCTTGCCTCTCCATTGCCCCTTGGCAATGTCTCAATCATTCAATTTATCAATAAAGACTCAGGTGCCAGATGCTGGGGTGAAAGCCTGCAAGCTCAGAGAAGCAGAGAAAGCACCCATCTGACCCTTCTTCTCAGCTGATGTCCTTGAAGCACCTTTTTTCTCTACTATCTCAAACAAGACCGTCAAAGTCAATGCCACTCTCTTCTACTTCCTGTATCTCTACCCATCCCCCTGAACTCCTAAATTCTGAAAAGTTTTCTACTAGAGGGTTCAGCTTTTAGTTTAATCAATAACACTGTGAAAGAAATAGAGTTTTTGCTCTTGTCATTTAAGATAAACTCCTGTAAGCGGACCAAATAATATGTAAAATTCCTCTAGCCTTCTAAGTAGATGTTGAGAGCACTAATGGGGTAACACATGGGAAATACTTTTGTAGACATTAAAGACAGTTTCTTACTCCTCCTCTTCCTTCTTCTCTTTTTTTCAGTACTAGGAATTGAATCCAGCCCATAATCTATGCTAAGCAAGTACTCTGCCACGGAGTTACACCTCTACCCTGTTATTTGTACCCTCAAATAAGTAGCAATATGCAATATGGAAACTTGGAAATGGCTCTGCAGTCTGAGAAACCCAGGCTATTAACCTCCTTACTTAAAAGCCTCAAGCCTCAATTGCCTAATATGTAAATATAAATTTTATCTAATCAAAGTATGACATGTAACTCACGATAGACTTGCTACTCAAGTGTTGTCATTAAATGAGATGGAGAAAATGCTGGAACAAGTGAGACAGTAAAGCTTGAGGAGTGATGGTTATGAAGGGTATAAGGAACATGCAAGAAACTAGGGCCAAAGATTTCCATTGGCACATCATCAGTTCACTGATGTTGGGCCTTGGTGAGGTCACACCACAGACAGAGTAAAATGCTTGAAGCTGCTCATGGGGACTCAATGGCTCATCAACACTGAGTGACAGGCCGGGGAGGCTTAGAAGTCATGATGAGAGAAGTTAAACTTCATTGAGGAACTACTACATGGAAAGTGAACTAATCAACAACTGATGTAAATTATCTTAGTTAGTAGGAAGATTATGTCTTCATTTTATAGATGAAGACACTAGAGGCTTGACAACTTGAAAGTAATATGATTTGGACTACTGGAAATTGAGTTGCAGAGACAAGATTCAAGTCTAGTACTGAAGCCTATCATCTTCCTGGCCTGTTATATTAAATTAGTTATATGACTTTAAAGAAATAAAGAGGTTTTTATGTTGCATTGAATGTCTGGTCCCCCACTTTTCACTTTATGAAACAGAATATCCCCCTTCATATAGCTCTACCAGTTACAGTATCATTTAAATCTTACATTTTATTAAGTAGAAACTTAGAAGAATGAACAGGAAAAAGCTCAATTGTTTATATATTTTTAAAAATCCACAATGTTTAGGAACTCTCACCTCCTCCCAGAATGCTGATACATTCTCCATGGTCACATCTGTGGTCATTAAGTTATACTCTAGTATCTTATATTCTTGATACTGCAGGAAATCCTAGTCAATAAAGAGAGTAAAAGCTTTGGGTCATAGAATTAGAATAACAGAATACATTGTTTTATCTTCTTATACTCTAACACGCAGTGTCTTAAATTAGAAATTATTTACTAAAATAACTTTACAATTGTTCTAAAGTTAAGGTACCAAGCAGAAGGATTCATCAAAGTATAAAATATGTTAGTTTATAAGGTTAGTTTTATATATTAGATATTAGTGCATAGTTACTTCTTTCTTATACTACTATATGGAATATTAATTACTATTGAAACCCCAATAATTACTCATGTCTCAGTTCAGGGCTAGTACAAAGGAAAAGAACCACAAATTGTGGTTTCTTTTTTGACATTCTCTTTACAAGCAACATCACTATCATCGCTTCTCTAGATAAAGGGAAAGTATAAGGACTTCATATAACTACTTTTAAGTGTTCTAAGAAAGGGCTTCATCAGAGACTCCAAATCATGTTCTTCCTAGGGAAGGTGGAGCATAGGACTTAAATCTGTGTACCCAGAAGTCTTCACTGGCCCCTGCCTGTCCTCTTTTCTCTCTTTTCTCCTTCCCTCCCTCTTTTCTTCTTTTGGTTTGTCTCATTTACTTTATATTTTTTCAGATTTTTTGTTACTATTTAGTTTTATTCTCATTTCTCTTATCTCTCTGCCCTCCTCTCCTCCTTTCTTCTCTCATCCCTCCACCCAACTAAGATGAGATCAACAGAGAAATAATATTAATCATAGAGCCACTCTGATCTAAGTGTCACTCACTACTTTTTGTAGTCACACAACTCAAGTTCATTTAAGCTTAGGGTGCAATGGGTGAAAAGAAGGGGCTAAAAGACATTGTGATGATCTGGATAGGGTAGACAGCCTTTAATGGCAGCTGCTACAGCTGTAGGGACCCAAATCACCAGATAATCTGAGTTTTTCAGAAGGCCTTTATGTGTGTACACATGCCAGTGCACAATGGTATGTGTTCACCAGTAACTAATTCAAAATGTCAAAGACAAATAAAACAGATACAGAGCTATATTTCATGCTGCCACCTTTTGCAACATCAGATAAATAATGAAAGAACCACTTAAAAACAAGCTCACCCTCTATCACACATTTTATTTGTCATAATGGTTACTTTCTGTGTTAAATATTTAATCAAATATTTTAAGATATGATGAGACATTTTTCTCGCAAGTTTACTTATTTTGCCCTGAATAAACTACTACTTATCACCTCAAAACTTTAGAACTTTCCACCACTAGCAGCTATTTTGGCATCCTGGAGTCGACAGTAATTAATGTGGCACAAAATGCCATCTCCTTCCATCAAACTATCTATAGAAATGCTAGAGAAGTTTAGGTGGGTTTTCCAGTATTAGCTGAAACATTTTATAACTTCCTGATAAAGTTTTTTTTCAATGTTTTTACATATTTACAAGCTGACTAGAACTGATCTATTCAATGGTTCCTGGAGTGGGGTTTTTCAGATTACAGAAACAATTATTTCAAATTTCATTTTATTTCATTAGACTTCATGAGACTATGGCATGAAAATGAAGAGAGGAAATCTTATCCATTAATAAATCCAAAACCAAAAAATTTATTTTAGAGAGTTTTCCCACTATACAAATTCTAAAATGTTTCAAATATCATGTAAAGGATGCAGTCATGAAAATTACCTGTACTTTTGTTATCATTCCAATAGAATCATACCATGTTTGTACAGCAGTGGGGAGCTGTCGTGTGACTGCCATACGCAGGACAATGCAGAATGAAATGGTTGTGAATATTTTTCGGAGGATGATTCCGTTGAGGACTGTATAGGGAAGCACAGCTAAAAGAACTACAAAGAACCCTGAGAAGAAGAAGGCGGAGCTAGTCAAGAACCTTGTATAGGCAGCCTTCTTGGTCAGTTTCAGTTCCACCCTGTGGAAAACAGAAGATGTGATGTTATTCTCTTTTCAAATATCATGTGTCATAGAAAGTAAAATCTGAACACGCAGTCTACACTTTGGGAAATTAGAAAACATCTCTTGGCCTCAGTTAGCTTATGTGACTGTTAATGAATACAAAATGCTTGCTAACATTGCTGTAAAATAATTAATAGCTTCAATTACTATAATTAAAATTTTGATTATATTCTTAAATTAATTTAAATTGAATTATCTGAATAGATTTCAATTTTATACTCGTTTATATCTTTAGTTATTTCATGATTAAAATGTGAAATGATGTGTGCAAGGGAAAACAATGTTACAAACTTTATTACAAAAATGATAATGTTGTAGTTATCCAACAGATTCTTAACATTTTCGAGATTCTAGCTTGGCTTTAAATAGCACTGACAATGTCATGAGGAGAGGTTATCAGATGTTAACATGTATATAAAGGGTCTGAGAAATATGTTACTGGGCAGTCTCATCTCCAAGCCATTATCCACTGATGCTGATGCTGCACTAGCTTAAGCAGAAGCTACCCTGTAGTCAAAGAAACCAAGTCATTCTATTGTAGGTGGTTCTTCAAAGACCAGGGACTAGCCACTCGCTCTTCTTCCCTCTCATTCCAGTGGAACTATATGTAGTCATGCCTCACTATAGTTGCAATCCTCTGGTCTGAACTCCAGCTGTCAACTATTCTTTTCTAAGACATACAGGAAAGGGTTAATGCTTTAACAGGCAGAAAGCAAGGGGCACAGAAGATGGTAACATGATTGAGGTGTCACCAGCAGAGAGCAATGTTGCCCTCAACCCCACTCTTCCTCCTCCCCATTCTTGAAGCCATTAAAGCTTCAAGTCACTTGTGATCATCCACAACCAGCTCTTGTGCCCTCCTGCACCAAACTATAGATCAGGCGCAGGAGGGCACCTGGCATGCAGACACTACACTTCTACATACCTGCCATTCAAAGAAGCAACTGTCCTTCTCAAGTGTTAGAATTAGAAGGAAATCTTTAAGTTCTCAAAGAAAACAATGTAATACTGAGCTCACTGATAGAGGTCATGCATATAACCTATATTACGATCAGCCTAATTAGGTGCAGTGTTTTATCTTTCAGTATTTGTATTGAAGGTTGATTATGGTTTGGGTTCTGCCTGTTTTACCTATGTCATCTAAAGAAAGTCCCTCTTCCTCATGATCCCACCACTAAAGAGAAATGTAATAGTTCCCTTGTAGAAACGTGGGTAAGCTTAGATGATGACATAGCAGAAAATCTAATAGAATGCAATGTGGAGTCCTTTTGTTTTAGAGATCAAAAAATGTTGATGAGGTTGGTACTTATAAATGACAGAATTGTTTAAAAAAACATTAGCACAGTGTCAAAATTGTTCAAATATATTAGAAACAGCTGACAAAGTTGGAGGGAGAGGTCATATGGGAAAAATAATAATTGATCCAAGAACACCAGAATCATCTAGAAACTATTATAAAATCCCTAAACATTTTAAGAGTCATAAAAATATTCTATCAGTTTCTTATAAAAAAATTAAAATCCCTTTATTACTGAAGAGCATTAAAGGCAGATTTGTTTTTCAAAGAGATTGGCCCAGCTTTTGGCCCAGTTCAGCAGCGGCCCAGGCTGAGGCAATCATCCTTCTGAAGAGTATCCTGTCAGTCTCTCCTAGAACACTGTATTTGTTCTGCTAAGTAAAAGCAATTCTTACTTTCCCACATCAGCACTTTCCAGCTTTTCCAGGTAACAATTTCATGCTGTATCAGACGGTGACAACCAGAAAAATGCTATCCAAATTGGTCAAACAGAAATATAGAGTAGGGAAGATGGATTTCATCTTTTGAGGAAGAGAGGGGTAAAATACCAATGTCAGAAAAAGTCAGCCACAGGAATGACCTGTCTGGGAGTTTATCATGAAGCCTGAGGAAACTGGATCATCTGATAACCTCACAACCCCTGCCATGACTGTGTTTACAGGCAGAGTGTACTGGAACACTTAACTTGTTAATGTGCAAAACAACTCATCAATTGAACAATTTCCCAAGATCTTTGAGGATGTTCCTGCAAAGAAAATGCAATGCCTTTCCTGGATTTATCTTAAAAGGTATAACAAAAGCAGGTGACCAATAATGTTTGGGAAATAAATACTCTTTTGCTCTTTCTATTTACATGGCAAAGGACTTAACATTTCTGCATTTCCTTTGTTATTCCAATCACACACCTGTGGCTCAGTTACCACTGTCTATGGGTCTCTAAAAGCCTGAATATGAAATAGCATCAATTCACCATTTCAAAAAGCACTTTTTCCCTGTGAAATACTTCAATTGTCCTAGTCTTTAAATTAGTTGTCTCCTTAATGATGCATCTCATCACCCAGAAGTCTAAAACCCTTCCTTGATGTATTCAGTAGGAACAGAGAAGTCAACTGCAGAAAAATGGTTATGTGGCTACAGCAATGCTCAATTTTCTTTTACCCAAAATTATCTCAGTAATTTCATCCCATGAGGTGGCTTTTGTTAACAGGGACTGATTTTGCATCCCGTGAACAATTCACATGGGCAATACTGAGGGAAATTCCTTTGTAATTATTCTGAACGTTCTGAATAGCAGGTACACTTTGTCCAAATGTGGCTTTCGGCTAAACTTTGGTAAATCATAACATGAAAGGAACGGTGTCACACAGTATCTCCCTTTTCTCTGAGAACTACATGTTTTAGCAGTTCTATTTATGATTTCAATTAGCCCCCAGAATCTTCATCATTGTTTTAATTAAATTAAGAGTATTAAACAATTATGATCAACTGTAGAAAACTCATTAAGAAGGGATACATATCCTTGCAGTGCAGTGAACTATGTAACCATAAGACAGGACAGAACATGGTGGCACATGCCTTTAAGTTCTAGAGGAAGCCTGATCTACAACACTGAGTTCCAGGCTAGCCAAGCCTACAAAGTGAGACCCTGTCTCAAAAACAAAAAGAAAACATTAACTCATCAAAATGATTATATGCAACTGATGTATAAAAAATGGTACACCTCAAGACATATGCTTGATTTCTACTAGAGCAGTCATGTTTAAATGTTAAGTATAAAATTGGAACAATATTGTAACCATATCAACTCACTGTCTCAGGTTTTCAATTATATTTTCCATCGCCGATTCCCAACAATATGCCTTAACAGAATGGATATTCTCAATAACTTCTGATGTGATCACAAGTCTTTCATTGATTTTTGCAGCTTTTTGATCTCTGTAAACCAATCCATCAACCAATCAATAACAGAAACAAGTCAAATTAACTACAAATAACTAGATAAACATTTTGATATTAAACCGATGTTAACAAAATTAATTCTATAATTTAGTAGATGCCTCCTGAATGGGAGACATCCACTGCTTAATCAATTTTAGATTTTGTCCTTAATCCAACCCTTATCAAAGAGGTGATTGTTCCCATTGTGTGAAACAAATGAAAAAATCTTTTTATGATATTTCAGCTGGCAAACTCTACATGTTCTACATGCCATAAGCATGTCACATGACTCATACCACAGATTCATTCTGTAATAAAAGTAATGAATGCTTTGGTAGAATGACCTACAATACAAAATTTAGACATCCCTTCCATTTCATATAAATACTATAGCCACTTTAATTATATGAGTATAAAAATATACTAAACCTTTAAACATTTATAAAGTAATTCTGTAGACCAATAGAGGAAAAATACCCTTTGTGGTATATGATGTATTATTTATACCATGAAAATAATCCCTTTTTAGTGGTATCCCATAGTTTTCTGGTCAGGGCATAGAAAAGCCCAAGTTAAATTCCTTCAAGCTGTGAAAAAAATTACTACCTGTACTTCACCATCATCTTCCCTAAAATAGCTTGAAAAAAGACCAGGATTATCAGTAAACCAAGGCCACAGAAGGCAGAGAATTGTAACAACTCCCAGAGAAGACCCATCAGGAGAGCCACTTGTAAAGGAGCAATCCATACAAAATGTGCCAAGGCAAGTCCCTGAAACAAAAACACAGAGAAAACAAAGTGGCATGTTATACTCCACCCTCAAAGAGCAAGCAAAGAAACACATGTGGGGAAAAAAAAAAAAAAAAACAAACGAGCACCGAGGACTTATTCAGTCAAGGTATTCATGGTTCTGAGCACATTTAAATTTAGATTTTTTGATATGGAAGCACAGTACTGGGCCCAATCAATGCATAGATAGGTTCCTCAAGGTAAAAATTTCAAGTCATCGTATTCCAAAGTATGGTTGTTGTTTTTTTTTTTTTTTTTTCCCCAAGTGGAATGGGATTGGATATCTTAGGAATTGTGCCCAGATTTTAATTAATTAATATCTGTTTTAAGTAAAGTGTCCTCACATTAGAACAAATGAGAACAAAGGACTCTCCTCAGAGACTCGGTGTATACACACACACACACTGTATGTACAGATGAACATCTTGTACTCAATTCAACAGAAATGTATTTAACTCTTATTATGTTAAATACTGGAAGTGCGAAGATAAATAAAACACAGTATTTGTCCTCAAGGACCTTGAATTTACTTGTGACATAAGACAGCATAGAACAGGAACTGCTCAGAGTATCATATTTAGCCAAAGTAAATAACAATTTAAAGTATTATATTAAAAGGAAGCAAAGTCTGATAAGGATTAAGTATTGAAAAACCTTATTAAGAGCAAGCTGAGGTATGTTTGAGTTGGGCAATTTTACCTGACCTCAGAATGGTGCTCAGTGACACAATTTATCTTTCCCAGTTTCCAGAAATAGCCAAACTAGGGATGGGTGGGACTTTGATACTTATCACTGTTATCTGGTGCAGGATAAATCTTCCTTTAGGGTTGTTGGTTTCTAATAAAATGCATAAGACATTTAATCAGTGGGTACATACTTCATCAAATTTGTTCAGGTTGTTGGAAAGAAGACTAACAAGTTGTCCAATACTTATTTTATCAAGAACACGGCTTGACAGCTTTAAAGTCTAAAAGAAAAATGGGAAGTTAGGTGATATGAACAAACAAAGGTAAAATGTATTCATAAGTACCAATTAGTAAAGGGGAAGGTGTGACTGCAAATATCTTAAGTGGAGGGCCAGCCTTGTTTCCTAGTCATTAGTTCCATACCTTCTCAGCTTTATGAATATTCAACTAAAAACCAAATATTACATTGAAATATGTTTTTTATATTTTCTGTCATAAACTAAGTTTTTGTCTTTGACACTAAGAATGATATCATATTTAAACATCCATTTGTAAAATGTAAGTTTGGGTCTTTTTTTGAGTCCATATGTTTGAGTTTGGGGAAATTTTTTACTTTGTTTTTCAAAATAGAAACAAAAGTCAGGAAAGTCAGGCCGAGAAGGACAAATGCAACCAGTTCTTCCTTATGTGAGAATCTCAGCTGTGAATTTTTAGAATATTAAGTACAACAATGTGAAAGTCAGAAGGATGAGAAAATGGCATTGGAGAGAGGGAGGGGGGACAGTATTACACTCCAGACATGAAATGGAGGCCAGGGCTAAGGGATGGATAATGAGGGTGGAGACAGCTCTGCCGGGAGAGGGACGGGAGGGTAGGGAAGAGCAAGGAGAAGAAAGAAGGTATCCAAAAGTCAGGATAAATGAAAAAGCCACATGGAAAACTATTTTATAAGCTTGCTCTTAAAAATATAATCTTAAAACTTCATTAATGCCAGCATCTCAGAAAGCCAGGTTCACAGGATAGGTGAGGGATGCCCAGTGTCATAAATGAGGTGGGAGAATCCCATAGGACAGGTGAGGGGTATACAGTGTCCTAAATGAGGTGTGAGAATCCCAAAGGACAGGTGAGGGGTATACAGTGTCCTAAATGAGGTGGGAGAATTCACAAAGCAGGGCGTAGACTGCCATCTTCCTTCTTTTTTGTGTGGCTAAAGTATTCACTCTGTTGAGTGGCTTCAGAATTACCTAGATTTCATTAAACTAGCTTTAGCAGAATGGAATTCCATGGGACTGTGGAGTGAGGATACTTTTTGCAGTAATACAATCTAAAAAGCATACAAAAATACATTGGCAGAGTCTCATTTACTCATACTCTGTCTCTCTCAAAGATACTGCAAGAAAACACATCCATGCCAATGATAATGAAGTGTGTCCCCACACTGTAATTACCAGGATGATTTAATATAGAGTTGTAAACATTATTAATGCTTGTCTTGCCTGTAATATATATCATGCCTTAAGAAATTAATAATAGCTGGAACTGTATAAAATTATATATACATATATGTATATATTTGAGTTTAAAATTTAAAGTTTGAGTATCACCCTTGTATAGTTCTAAGATTAAAGGTTGTTTTGGTTTGGTTTTTGGGTTTTGCTTTCTTCCTTCCTTCCTTCCTTCCTTTTCTTTTTTTCTTTTTTTTTTTTTTTTTTTTTTTTTTTTTTTTTTTTTTGAGATAGGGTATTTTGGTGTAGCCCTGGCTGTTCTGGAACTCCCTCTGTAAATCAGACTGGCCTTGAACTCAGAAATCCACCTGCCTCTACCTCCTGGATTAAAGGCATTCACCATCACTGCCCTGCTAAGTTTTAAACAAACAAAAAACAATAATAAAAAGGTTGAATATAGGTCTCCTCCATGGATGATGCTCCTCTCAAAAGACATGAATAATCAAAGTTCCAGTGCTGCGTATGTATACGGGATACCCTCCTATGAGTGACTACCCAAGGAGATCTCAGAGGTTCTCCCAAACAATACAGGTTTTTGCCCATGCTCTTGGTTGCCCTGCAGAACTTGATGGTAAGACTCTGCTGCTGAAGATACTATATACTACAGTCACAGGAGCTGTGCTATAAGCTTCCTCCCTGCTGGCTAGCTTTCACAGTGCCAGAGGTAAATGCAAACTGCTGGGGAAGAAAAAGCATCCTCCAGCTGTGACTCTAGTAAGCTATAAAAACCTGTCTCTTTGCAAAACATGTCCACTGACTAGTAGTACAGCAGTAGGTTGAGTCCTATGGGGGTGACTAGCTGCTTTCTGACTGAAGCTGAAGCCTGCTCCACATTAGGGAACTTATGTTTGGTTCTGTAACCTGGTTAAGAGTCTCTGTCTATAGGTGGTAACCAACTAACTGTTGTTCTGCTAAATGGTCATGTTATCAAGCTATCTTTTTCTTTCTTTCTTTCTTTTTGTTTTTTCCAGACAAGCAGGGTTTCTATGTGGCTTTGGAGGCTGTCCTGGAACTAGTTCTTATAGACCAGGCTGGTCTCAAACTCACAGGGATCCGCCTGCCTCTACTTCCTGAGTGCTGGGACTAAAGGCATGTGCCACCACTGCCTGGCCAAGCTATCTTCTTACTACTCCCATTTATACCATAGATTAGAGTTTGTACTCAGCCATTATCAGAAAAGTTTCTTAGGACAATGGGTGCTGGTGACTGCAGAAACCTACAACTGACCAAACTGTGGTAACTAAGTGAGGGTAGAATGTTTGGTGATAAATAACATGGCTATATCACCCTCTGCCCTGCCCCATGACAGAGAGGAGCATAAAGAATATAAGGGCTGAGTTTAGGAAAGATAGACAGTACAAAGAAGTGTTCTCACAGAACATATCAGTTGCACTCATGAACTCTTTACAGCTGAGGCTATCTGCACAGAATGACACCTTTCAGGATGGATGAGGCAGCATCATGCTTGTTGGGGAGGGCTGTCATAGTATCTTATCATTGATGTAATACAGATAAGATGCCCTTGCTCCACTAAATAATCTCCCACTATGCTCTTGTTAAAGTTAGTGGATCACACGCAAAAAGACAAGGAAGGGGGAAGGGACTTGCAAAAATGAGTGCCAGTGGGAGAGGGCAGGAAATGAGAGAGAAACTGAGGATAAAGATGACTGAAATTATTTATATATATATATATATATATATATATGTATATATATATATGAAAATTCCAAATAATAAAAAAATGTTTATAAATTCAAAAATAAAGGTTAGAACCTAAGGTAGTGAAACCTGGTCTTCATTATTTCATAAATTCCTTCACAAATTCTGTGGAATAAAAGTGTTGTCAAAGTCAATAGAAGAATGCTATAAAAACTTAGAAATTAATGATTTAATATTATATAAATTATGATCATGAAATGGAATAATGTATTGTGAAATGTAATATTATTTTATTTGGTTAGATGGCTTTGGCAGCAAAGCACCCATTTATTATTTGTTTCAACTAATCACATATTTGTTGAGTATTTAATAGATACAAACCATTGTCCTGTATATATTGGGTTTAATATTTATTAATATATAATTCTTGTCTGAGAGTAACCTAGAATATATATACGTGTGTGCGTGCGTGCGTGTGTGTGTGTGTGTGTGTGTGTGTGTGTGTGTGTGTGTATGTTAAGGAATGCAAAAGTTGAGTGGGCTCAACATAATGGATAATTTTTAGACAGGCAAAGAGGAAGAGGTAGGATAGTTAATTACAAAATATTATTGGAACAATAGGAGAAGAGGGAGAACTCCCTTGAGGTAGAATGTGTCTTAGAAAAAGTTTCAATGTCAGGTAAAGCTATGTATAAGGTAAAAAATGAAGCAACATCATAATATACACATAGTAAACATTTATTCATTTATTTTGGTAATCTTCAAATTCATGGGCAAAGTTTTGTTCCTGTTTGTAGTCATTATTTTCAGTATTAATGTGCTATGGTTTCAGAATTTTAAAGGGAGTGACTTTCTCTAGTATAAAATTTGAAATGTTGTAGGAAGAATCCTATGTGTCCTTGCCACGAGCCTGAAACAGGATGGATATGGGGAAGGAGTTGAGACATGGGAAGAGCAAAGACAAAGTACAATTAGGGACCAAACTAAAGCAACATGAAGATGCACTCACACTTTGGTGATGAACCACCATCGGAATGTAACTGTGGTTTGCAAGATAAACTAAAGGATCAGTCATCACAGGTAGTTGATGTTGAGATGGAAACACATATGGTAGAGCTTCAAACTCTGCACCAGTATTTTTAATGGACATATACTAATGGTACATGAGGACTTGCTCACAAAATAACCATAATCATTATTTTACCTCACATCCCCTTTGCCTCAGTACTATGTTTCCATACTTTTGCTTTTTCTAATACACAGAAAACATTTTACTTCAAAGACTGTGAATTATCCATTTTGAATTTTTAAGGTAGTTTTTATATAATACTCTTCCTTTATAGATTTTAGTTTCTTTAAAAAATAAGATAACAGTACCTACAGTAGAGAGTTGTGCTTAGATCAAATTAGATCACATTTAAATCATTTATTAGTGTGACATATATATCCTTAGTTATTATCATTACAATATGTACTTAACAGATATTAATTAAAGTAAATTCAATTTTCTTTGACAGCAAGTTATGTAGATTCTACACTAGAAATGATCTCTAAAAAGTTTTGTTGATTTATCATAATATTTTCCTGGGACTTAGCAATTGATGAGATTGTAGCTTAAGAGATTCAATTAAACTTCAGACTCCTTTTTGTTGTTCTCTGGCTCCATAAAAGTCTTTTTTGAACAATAAAGTATGGCTATCAAGATTTTATTACATAATTGGCCTTGAGTGTGTACCATTGTAGTGTTATGGATTACTTGTTAGAAGTCAATTTCAGATCCATAGCCCTTATAAACCAAGTATATAAAGTTTGTAATTGAAGGAAGAATATACCAAAAAGAATAAGGGAATATATAAGTGGTGCTACCAATATCTTTTTGATCACTTGGTAGAGTTAACGCAGTCACATACACAGACTGGAGAAAGCACATGCCATTGAAAAGACTGAATTGTGTCAGAATTTTAGACAACATTTAGGTAGCTAAATGTTCATTTGAATGGATTTAGGTCATTCCTAGACAATTTAGGTTTTTGCCTAGCTAACACATGCAGAAAAGCAAACTGAGTTCTTATGATTTCAATGTATGTACTATTTCAAAAACTTTAGAGTTGCAAGAGTCACTAGATGACAAAGATCCAACTCATAGTAAGACAGTAGGTGAGTGTTACCATTGCTCACCATCTGTAGCAGCTGGGTAAGTGGAGATGTATTGCTTAGGTTATCAATAACAATGATAAATTCCACTTTAGCATAAGATGATACTTTCAATGACTTTCATATTATTTATCATTTTAACTGAAAAAAAAGTGGATTAAAAAATTGATGGTGATTTTGCCCACTGCTTTAGCACTTTGTCTATTTTGTTTGAAGTCCTGGATTCAATTTTCAGTAATTCAAGAAACAAAATCCCCAAAACAAAACCATTCAAACCTTTCCCCTAAAAAATGGCATCTGCAGTATTGTTGTTATAGAAGGTACTTACTAATTCCCCACTGAAGCAAATTGAATTACAAATTAAGGATAGATAACTCATAACAGTACTTATCCCTGCCACTTATTTCACAGACACATGAAATTATCCTTTTTAGAGCTCACAATCTAATTCAGGGCATTGAATATATGCCATGTAGAGTATCTGACTGTGCAGGGTGACAAACCCAGCAAAGAACTTGGTGGCATACAGGAAGTCCTGAGTTCAACCCTCAGCATTGAAATAACACAACAAAGCTAATCAAAAAACAGCCCCCTCAAAAGTCTTACCTTCTTATAAATCAAGCTAAACATAGCTATTCTCATCTGCATTCCAATGCGATGAAGGCCAAAAATGGCTGGATGAAGAAGCAGCGTCCTGACAATGAAGAGAAGACATAAGCCTATACCTAGGTAAATGGCAATGGAGCGCTCCACCTTGTTATCTGGATCATAGGAAGCTATGATTCTTCCTAGCAAGAGAGGCTGGACAGCCTTGGTGACTTCCTGCAGAAGGAGAAAACAGATTACATTTCATTTCCTTTTCTTGGAATACCCTCATGATTTCCTAGTGAGATTTTATATGCTGAAATAAGACTTGATTATTAGTTTATAGCAAAAGTGACTTCAAGACAAGTTTGTGTGCAATGTTTACTAAAACCTAGATGAACAGTGACTTCAGTAAGTTGTATACTATAACACTTTTCCAACAAACTCATCAACTTTTCAAATGTACATGAACAAATTTGAACCCAGGGACTCTAAATCTTATCCATCTTGCAAAACACCCTTCAAATTAGGAAAAGATTATTTCTCAATTCTTGTTTTATAATGACTTAGTAAAATAGAATTTAGGGCTAACTCCCACAAGAAGATTAAGACAGACATGATCCTAATTGCTTACCTCTAAGTCTCTCTGACTCACCTAGGAATGCAGAGAATTAATTTGCTTTTTATTGTTCTCTACAATAATTTTTCAAAATCTAAGTGCCAATACTACCTGTCCCACAATTCCCAAAAAGATGACCATGTTCTCTTGCCACCTTCCTCCCCACAGGAAATTATAATCTACTGTAACTGTCAATGATCATTTGTCTTGCTCATTCTGTACTTATCCATACAGAACTTCACTTAAGAACAGTATAAATCAAAGCTCTGAATATAAGAGAAGATTCAAACTTTTGAAAAAGATCCCAAAATAATCACAAAGATGAAGAATAATTATTTCTTTTCACGTAACCACATTTAAGTGGATTTGAATTATGACAAATCAAAGGGAGGTATAAAAAAGAAAATTTTTAACCTCTTACCTAGTTATAACTTGCTAATAGTTTGTGATATTTAGTGAATAAAAAGCAGTATGCAAAATACTTCTAAGTATACATCATCTTATATATGCTTCATATTTTTATTTTTATCACATAGTTAAACATCTTTAACATATTTAGATGTAGAATTAAATTAGAAACTAAGCAGGCACATTCAGGGTGGTATGGCCTAGATGTGACTTTTAAATGTCATATAAAGGTTCTTGTGGGTTTTTTTTTTAACCTAAAAGCATTTTTTACATTTATCTTTATATATATAATACAGCTACCTCATTCACTCTAAATATATCTAACATGCCTTCTTATGAATACATCAGGTTGTCTATGTCTCCACAAAGGTAAATGTTGTGTTTTATGCTATTATGGTCTCAGTTGTTTTATAAGATGAGAGAAATCAAGAGACAAGTTAGAGACTATATTAAATATCATATTGCACAAAATACATGTAACTATTTCTAAGAAATAAATCTTGTTTGTGGAGATTAAAGACACCATCCTGAGTAAAAATAAATATTTTAAAAGCTTAGCTTTAACAGAATTTTTCAAGTTACAAATCATAAGCTTTTATGTTTTTCTTCTGTTGACTAGTTTGAACTAAACCCCCTTCTGATGTTAGATCCCCATTATAGTTTTCTACAACCTACCATCATTATCATGATAGATTTATTTGCCTAATTATTTCATTGCATCTTAATATAAAAATCATAACTGTATTATCCTGAATGGAATGAATGCCTATTTTACATATCGCTACTACTGAGTTAGATTTCATCTTGCCTCATCTTTTGAACAATATAGGTCATCCCACAATGACACAACAGTATAACTCTGGAAGAGCAGATATTCACTTTGTTTCTTCACTGAAAAATTCCAGTGACAGTACTGTCTGTAGATCTCAACATAAACTTCACTATCAATAGTTCTGTTGTCACTCAGGGACAAGACCTGCACATCTAGCCTCTCTGCTTCTACTATTTTTTTCTAATCTCTTTTATGTATCACGTTCTCTAATATTTACAATGGAACCATTCATAGATCCACCTGACATTTTTTTTTTTAATGTGGAAAAAAACACAATGGTAACTGATACCTAGCTTAAAGTATAAAGTGCAGTTCTCAAAAATCACTACTGGAACATGAAAGCTGAATGTCCTCTGTTGCTCAGACTATTTTCAGAAATAGAAGTGCCCTCATTTTCACCACATGAAATGGAAAGCTATTTTAAATAAGATAACACCAATTCAATATTCAAAAATTTTTATCAGACATAAAACAAGATATAATTTATTCTTACCTTTAGAAAATGGAAGTAGCTTAATATCAGTGTTTAAGACAATATGAACACTAAACTCAGGATCATGAAACTCAAATTCTTTTTTTACATTTACTTTAGAGAATTTTATACACAAATACTATATGTATCACTTCTATGACTCTCTCCCTCCCTTCAAACTCCATCCATGCCCAACCCTGACTCCTTCTTAAGTTCATGACTCTTTCTTCAGTAATCTTATTCAGTGTATCTACTCTCTGTGTCCCCTCAATCACTTCTATTGTTTGGGCAGTTCTCCTCATTGGTAAACTCTGATAATTCAGAAAGTCCTCTCCTATAACATCATCTCTGAAAGTATGACCTGAGTTTTTCCATATATACATGCTCAAAATGTATAGAACTGAACAGTGTGAGTTCAAAAGACCATTCAGGGCCAGGAATTTTGACATATGACCATAATCCTATCTCAGGTGGCAGGGCTGCAAAGGGAGGATTATGCAGTCCAGGCCAGTCTGCATACACTTCCTTTCAACCAAAAGACCATCTGTCACCTGGGTAAATGGTCAAGAAAAAATATCTAAAAAGGATTACACTCAAGTGGGAATAATTTTTGGCCTCAGTAGCCTACCAGGGGAAGTTTGAACCACTTCATGGTAGATATACCTGGGTTATCATAAGATTTTTCAAGGACAGAGCTCAAAGTCACTGTAGTTGAATACATATCCTTAAACCACTTCCATTGTTCCTGAAAAGTCAAGATGTTTCTAGAGATAGGAGAGTGTGTTGAGCAGATATTCAGACTATAAAGAAAAGTTCAGACGAAAATAGAAGGGCAAACTCAGGTTTGTAACTTAATTATATGGATTTACCCACAAGGCATCTTTATACAAAAACAAAAACAAAAACAAAAAACCCACAAGTTCTGAACCCGGGTGCTTAGTTCAGGACTAGAGTGTTTGCCTAGCATCTGAGGTTTAAAAGTTCTTTGTTATGTCTTGTGCAGCCACTAAGCAATAGCATTAACACCTTCAGGTAATACTGAGAAATCAACTAATGGAATACCAATACACTATTGAACAATCTGTGAGTATAACAGTGACAACAGAGAAACTAATTTGAAAAATATCTGGATCTGGTCAAAGCTGAATATAAACATTCCTTATTAACCTAGAAAAGAGGCTCCTTCAGAACCAGGAATCATCGCCATAGTGGAGAAACACAGCCTTTGGAGTCAGGAACACAAAAGAACACTGGTTATTGTGGCCACTTAACATCTTTCTGAATCTTCTAAGGCAACTTAAAGGGACAAATTATTGCTTTGAAAATTATAAATAAAAAGCAAAAAAACCCACCATTATTAATATGTAATGTGCATGACTCCGGAGACTACTAAGTATACTAAAAACTAACTGAACTAAGAAAAACTAAATATTGCAAATATTATGTTTCCCCTAGTATATTTTATAAGATTAATGTAGATTTTAAAAATAAATTAGCACCAGGACAGGGGCTATCTATATTTACTGATGCAAGAGTTTCAATGGCACATACAATATATCTAGTAAGTGTACCTAATCAATAAATATTTATTAAATAAATGGTTGTTAATTCCATTTGGAAATAAATACTAATTGAAACCATTTGAAAAATAAAAACAATAAACTTAAGTCAATGACTATTAAACCACAGAACTACTCATGTCAGATAACAAAGAAAGTATACTGATTTATCTAGAAACTCCAGGAAAAGATCCAAATGTGTGTAATAACAAGATACAATGTGTGGCACTTAATTCAGTGAAGAAAGTAAAGCTTATCCAACCAAGAATGGAAAAATTGGATCTGAGCTTTCATATATATGTGTGTGTGTGTGTGTGTGTGTGTGTGTGTGTATCTTTATGTATATGTATATATAAATTTGATATATAAATAATCAAAATTAATTATAAGTGGGTTCAATATTTAAATGTAAGCCATGACATAATGAAGCACAGACTGGGGCTAGAGAGATGGTTCCATGGTGAAGAGGATGTTGATCTAGAGGACTCGAGTTTGGTGCCCAGCACTTTCCTAAAGCAATTTAAAACTGTCACTCTAGTCCCCAGGAACATAATGCCCTCTTCTGGTCTCTCTGATGTCTGCACACATCTGGTAAGCACATAGACATGCAAGCACACATACATACCTACAAATAAAGAAACCTTAAAACAAAATTAAAACCAAATATACCTGCACTCTGCCTAAAATTTGAGTTTTATTAAACTCTGAAACAAAAGCATATACATAAACAAAAGCATAAAATAAAAAAACAAACACGTTGCATAGATTATTCAGCAATTAAAAAGTTATAATGGTTAGAAAATAAAAATTTGTTCACATGTGGTGGCATATGCCTTTATTCTAGCACTCAGGAGGCAAAAGCAGGTGCTCTCTGAGAATTCAGACCAGTCTTGACTACATAGTGAATTTCAGACAAGACAGGCCAACCATGCTTACAGAGTAAAGGCCCTATCTTAAAATTGTTTAGAATAAAGTTACAAGGCCAAAAGTCTAGAGAGAATATTCTAGTATCAAATGACAAAACACATCCAGAAACAGAATAACAGAAAAAAAGGGGCGACTCACATGCAGAAAAGAATTGTAAATGCATAATGACTAAATAAAAGCATAAAAATGCTGGCAAAAAAAATAATACATTCTTTTTGCTTAAAAATTTTAATGAAGATAATATCAATTGGTAGTAAAGACTCAACTTTCTCAATGTAGTACTATAAAATTAAATTACATATTTTCTAGCTATATTTGTAAAGTTTGAGTCTAGAAGTTACACCAAGATTTAGTTTTTTTTTCAAATTGGTGTATACTGAAGGACTACATTCACTAGTCATCAAATGGAAATAATTTAAGTGTTCAATGACTTGTAATTTACTTTCATGTCATTTATTCCATAAATAACAGTACAATTAGAGGATTTATTAATTAGGTAGAGAACATCTAATGACACAGAATCACATTCACAAATGCATGAATAACAGAAACAGATTTGTCACACATTATCTAAAGGAATGCTCACTCTCGCTTTCATTAAGCAAATATTCTGATAGAAAATAAAGACAGAAGTATCAAGTCATCTGGAGTTGGATACTGGTCACTGTGAAGATGAGAAAAAAATTCCTTACTTTTCAAGAAGGATGCTATGAACTTCAGTGATCTTGTTGCAGGATCTGGGGAAGACAAATGGGGGCAGAAGCTCTACGTGGAGAAGAAATAAATACTTGAGATACAGCAGGCTTATGGAGAGTTCAAAGTGTCTACGACAGCCAGATATGAGAACTCAAGGTGGACAGAAAGATTCAAAGTGAATCCTACATAGCAAGCCTCCAGATTTGCTAAGAGAATTCATACTGAAGGGGTATAATAAAAAAAAGTGCTGAAGGCACTACCTACGCATATGCAGAATTACCCAAACATCCTTCCTTCAGTAGTAAGAGGCTTGTATTTGTCTAATTACAAGAGACAGATCCCCCTTTATAACAGTCAGAGGAATTTAAGAACTGTGGCATTGTTAGTACCAGGATTTCTTTAAGTCCTTTAACTTTCAGGGATGCTTTAAGCTGAACTAATATTTACCTCTGTGTAGGGATGGAAACACAGAATCAACAACACTTCAAGTAAACACTTGTGAATTCTTACAGTGACTGCTCTATGGTGACCATATTCTCTCAATGATATGTTTACAGATTCCCTATACTTAGCTTCCCTCAGATAATCCTTAATTGACTCTCATACTCAGGTTTTCAATAGCCCATTGCTCTTCTGCACTGGAAGTCATAAATATTAAAGACAATGTTATGTCTGGCTGCTGAGTCATATAAAGAAAAAGCAAATGCACAGTTAATGGGGATATGCCATAGCTAATATGATTTTAAAATTGCATCACTGTTGTAGAAATAAGGTCCTTTGTGATGGTATTTCCTTTTTCTTAGCCTTTCACAGTTGCAAGCAAATTTTATAGTGCTTTTTTTTCTATCAGTACTGAAACCAACCAAATAGTTATTATACCACAATTATCATGATATACAGAGACCAAAACTATAAACACATTCCAAACATATGTCCCCCTACATTTATCCAAGAATTACAGCTGTTTCCATAATCTTTGCTTACTTAATGGGAAGAAGAAATTCCCAGAGAGAACACTACAAACAATAAAGAAATAGCATCAGTTTATGACAGGATAGAAGCTTATTAAAATGGCTAAACTTTCTCCCACTCTCACTGTGAGTCATAGAGGTTGGTAAGCGTCATAGATACAATGACAATGTAGGTTAACAGCTACAAATTCACAGATGGAAGGAATACGCTCTACTATGGTGACTATAGTTTGCAATAATATTTCAAAATAGACAGCAGATATTCCTAATGATCTCACCACAAAGAAATGATAAATGTTTGAGTGATTTAATTACTCACATTAGATCATGAAAAATGTATACATATATTGAAACATCACTGTTCGTTTTATAAAAAGGACAATTTTTATATGTCAAAAACTTTTAAAAATAAAAATTAGACTGAAAGCAATAGATCAAGTTCCTTGGAAATTATACTTATCTAAATATTATGTAGTTTTCAACATTTTTACAACTTTGAGCTGTGTGGCTTCAGTGAGGCTTTGTGTGGGTGGGGTAGGGAGGGAGAGAGAGGGAGAGCATCTTCAGCATCACTGCACTGTTCCCAGTTCATTTTCTTCCTCAGGCCTGTTCTCTATACACATTTGGCTGCACTTGACCATCAGGACTTTTCCTTACCAATATTCTGATGGGCACCAGCACACATTTGACTTTTAGCTCCAAAAGTTATGATGGGTCCAGATAAATGTGTCAGAAGAATTTCTTTTAGAATATAATAGTATTAGAAAACATTCTGGACCTAATTATAGTCAATTTAGTCAATATAAATCATTAGTGAATTTGGGGGCAGGATAAAGTAGAATTCTTTAAATAATACAGCTGTACATGGGTTTATACAGCATTTGAGGAGAAACCAAAGCCCTGCTATTTGGGGATAAAGACCAGAAGAAAGACTGTGCAAGTTCATCCCAGTGGAACATAACACCCCAAAACATTATTGTGCTGAGTTGTTAAAGCAGACTTAACAGATTTCCACTTGTCATCTGTTTTTTATAGGCTACAACCAAGCATTCAAAGTGATGCTCTGATGACATAGAAAACAACACCTAAGACAAGTCAGTAAACCTCACAAAGCCTGGGTTTCCAGTCTTGCTAATCTCTTGACACTGATGAAGACATAAGCTGCTGACAAAATACATTCAAGCATACCTAACTGCCTTATTTTAAATTTTTGCTTCTTTTGGGAAACAAATTCAATGTAGATATTATAATAAACATTCCTCCATGTAATTTACTGAATGGGGCCTTACTCTTATCACGATATTGTCTCCAAACATTCTCTTTTTGAATACAGAAAAGTAAAGGTACCAGAAATCTCATATACTGTTAAAATGTGATTTGGATTCATAAAAGAGAAAAAAATTTAAACAAGTAATTTGATTTTTTGGATCCATTTTAACTACAAACTGTAAATTGAAATCTGCATTTCAAGAGTTTCCACTTAGCTTAATTTTAGGTGGTTTGTGTTTAGAGTTGTAATACAATTTTATAAATATCTTTCATTCTTCTATAATCACAAAACTACTTACTATATCTCAATAATACATGGCACTATGCTCACCAGTGAGTCTTACCCCTAAGTATAACAAGATGCTATAGATATCTCAATAATACATGGCACTATGTTCACCAGTGAGAGTCTTACCCCTAGAATAACAACATGCCATAGATATCTCAATAATACATGGCACTATGTTCACCAGTGAGAGTCTTACCCCTAGAATAACAACATGCCATAGATATTTCAATAATAGATAGCACTATGTTCACCAGTGAGAGTCTTACCCCTAGGTATAACAAGATCCCATAGAAGATGAATCTCCAGAAGAAGCATCGTCGAAGGGCATGGATAAGCTTCGGATTCTTCTTTGAAGCTTGTTCCCTGTCCCATTCTCTGCAAACAATAAGAAAATGAGACCAATGGCAACAAGTGCATGTCTCCGAATTTCTCTATTTCCCTTCTTAGTCTCCATCCACAAGTATATTTAAGGAGATTAACACAACTACTCAATCAGATACTTGGCAGAGTTTGATGCTCTGCCATGCAGTCACTCTGCAGACCTTCATTTCATGAAACTACTAATCATGTACATTAAAGAAGCGCACTAGGCTTCTTCAGAGTGGTGGCAAGGATGAACAAACGACACATAACACATAGAATGCATCTGCACTCAGAACAAGATGCAAAAATAGTCTAAGCTTTTCCCCCTCATCTCATGATATTGCTTTTAACTGTCACAAACTTCATAATATTCAACTTTCAAACAAATAAAAAATCAGGTGGATTTTTGGTTTTAAATTTTTTTTTACAATTTTAATGTAACTTCATAATTTCCCCCTTCACTTTCCTCTCTCCAACCCTACCCAGCCTCCTCCTCATTCCTTCTCAAATTTGTAGCCTCTTCATCTTTGACTGTAACAAATATTATTGTAACATGTAAATGCAACCTGCTAAGGCCTTTTAGTTTTACTTGTATTATATGATTTCAAGGCTGAACCCTTAGTATTGGATAGCCTACTGGGCAGCTCACCTCTGGGAAAGATCATTTTTCTCTTAGTTGCCCTTAGTTCTTTGTCTAGGGGTGGGGCTCATGAAAGTAGGTTCTGAGAACTGTAAGAGCCAGATTGCCAGAAAGTGTACTTTGAGAGCTATCTCCTAGAAATGACCGGAAGCTACACCCATGATAACGCCAACAATCCGCTTGCTTAAAACAGACCTGAACAATTACCACACCAATAGACATGTTAATGAAAGGGAAACATCAGGTGAAGGTTTAATGAGTTAACACAAGAAAAACCTACTTGGATGTTTATTTAAAGGAAAAGCATTAAAGAGCCATCATTAAATTTCAGCATCAACTACTGAAATTTACTAGTGTGTAACTCTTTAAAAATAGAGCAAAATAGCTGGGCGTTGGTGGCGCACACCTTTAATCCCAGCACTCGGGAGGCAGAGGCAGGTGCCTCTGTGAGTTCGAGGCCAGCCTGGTCTCCAGAGCAAGTGCCAGGATAGGCTCCAAAGCTACACAGAGAAACCCTGTCTCGAAAAAAAAAAAAATAGAGCAAAATAAAAATGTTTTATAGTAAAGATAGATACTAGGTAGTATTGACAAATTAGCTGAAGTCTAATACTTGAGTTTTATTTTAAGTTCTCCTAGAGAATCAGCTGGTTCTTTTTAAGTTGTTGCCACTCCTATCTACTTAAAAAGTATCATTTAATTTTTGCAATGGAATAAAATATATCTCAGTGCCACCTTCATCTTAATTTTCAAATTGTTTTGAGATGGAAAAATTTCATGAACCACAGACAAGAACTGGATACTTAGATAAAGGCCTTGTATTTCATCAATGGATATTCTATTATTATCAATTTGGCATAGTTAAATTAGTTCTACATCACTTTAGAGGAAGGACACGCAAGGGAGACTTGATGATAAACTTGGTGGTCTTAATAAATGGACCATGAGTTCCACAAGAAACCTGCTAATGGCAGCCTATCTATTAGGCAGCCTAGTCAACCCATGATCCTCTTCTGCTCTTCATTCACATACATGGGGCCTGTTTCTCCATCTGTGATAGCGAATTAAAAATAAGGCACATATAAGTATATAGCAGCAGCATCTTCTCTGTGCAAGGACTAGGTCTTATTAAAATTATCATTAATACTTCAATTAGAACTTAGTGATGAACTATATCTAGGAAATGCATGAAAGGGACTGTCCATAAACCAAAGAAATGGTTTCAAGATAAAGATACCAATTACAGTGAAATACTAAGTACAGAAACAAAAGGTCATATTTGATAAAAGGTCTCTGGTATCCCTCATCAATGAAGTTTTAGGAACATGATGAAAACAAACTATATTTCGGGTGCTGAGATATAAATGGATGATAAATGAAGACCAGATCAGCAGAGAATTGTAAGCTATGCAATGGGAGAGATGTAGTGACTTGAGGGAAATGGAAAACTGTTGTTTTAATTGGTGGAACTTGAATAGTTTGCAGCTATAGAGGAGGAGTTAGCAACAAGAGTAGATAATATTGATCCAGCAGCACAACAGGCTTTCTGAGGAAGAACTCGACTTGCAAAGCTCATTAGTTAGTTAGGAACATAGAGTGGGTGTATGATTTTCATTCTTCAGTAATATAGATGATTCAATCTCATGACCACAAAAGTGAACCAGAGTCAATGTACCTCTACTAACAAACTGAATACTTGGAGTCACTTTCCCAAGGGTGTAAAAAAGTAGTTTCAATAAATTTCTAATAAAATAACATCAATAGATAAAAATTATAACAATACTATAACCACAATTATAAATGTTAGAATTTATTTGTTATTAGAATTTATGTATCTATTCTGAGACAAAGAGGTTGAATTAAAAGAAAATAGATGTATTTTAAAATAATCAAAATGGGGGTCAGAAAACTAAGCAGAAAAATAACATCAAGTTAGATAATTCTATAAATATGGTGACAAAAGAAAAAATAGAGAGGGGAGAAGAAGGAAGGAATGGAGGGAAGACAGAAGAAAGGGAGGAAAGAAGGAAGAAAGGAAGAAAGGAAGGAAGGAAGGGTTGAATGTGGCAAAGAAAGGTATAAGCATAGAGTTCTGAGAGGTTCACCTGAGTAGAAAACTAGTCTAAGGAAATTAGCCAGAACAGGGCAAATGTCACAGTAGATCTTTCAGTGCTAGGAGTCACTGACTTCCTTGGACTAGTTCTCTACCTAGACATTCACATAATTTAGGCTTCATGAGTTATCAAATGTCCTCTTTTTAATTGATAAACCTAGTTGATTGGGTTCTATCCCCCACAATCACAATGGCCACAACCAATACCCAGAAATGGGAACTATGATAAGTTCACCTGGACCGAATTATAGCTTCATCATTCAGTGGTTAGCAAATCACATTATCTCAAAGCTGTGGCTTGCTCTTCTGTAGGGTGAAGATAATTATGACTTTCTTCCAGAGTGGTCACGATGAGAAATTATGGTTGATATGTAACAGACCCTCAAAATTATTAAATTTTCATATTTTGTTGATATTCAATAGCTATTATCTTAAGGTTTCCACAAAGTATAATGGCATTCACATATTCAGATTTCAAAGGTGACCCTCTACGTGCTCACTACCAGCAACCTACACAAGGCCTGATTACAACTCACAGGAATCTTGCTCCAGATACCCAAACAACATATCTGTAGGGGAAGCTGTAGCCACGCCTTCTTAGGGGCTGGCTACAAGAGTACCTGAGGGCTTGTGAGGGAGTGGTCAGAGTGAGTAGGGGGACTGTATTTTTGGTTTTGGTCTCTCTTTGCTTTTTGCTGTACAGACTACCACCGGCTGGCTGGTTCGCTCTGTAAGTAAGGCTTTTCCCTATTAAATACCCTTATATTTCTACCTGACTCCGTATTGGTAATTTTTTACTATATCTGGTGTCAGGAGTGGGATGACCCCATGCCCCAAGGTTTCCAGAGAAAGAGGGAAACCTGCCGCCACAGCCTGCCCTGTCGGGCCGCT